AAAAAAAAAAAAAAAATAGAGAGCAGATAAAAAAAAGTATCGTATAAATGGTAAAAAGCATATCGAAAAATAATTTTTCTTTTTTTTTTTTTTTGTCGAATTGTGATATCAATATATTTCAAAAATATTAAAACTCGACGAAAAAGAAAAAAGAAAAATTTCACTTATAAGCTAATTGATAAATTACACGCCCACAGAACTAATACTAGTCGATATATAAAATTTATACCTTAGTTTCCTATAGCGGGCTATAATTTGAAGTTTTTTTTCGTAGAAATAGCTGTAAAAACGTTTCGACCATTGCACAGCTCACGGAATGTGAATTTCTTATGTAAAAGAAAGCATGACGTCAAATTATACAGATTAATTCGATTATTGCATCGATTTCTTTTAGAAACGTGTACACTAGATAGCAAGTTTACATTAATGACATATTTGTGCGTTTATGTTAGTAGCATATAGTTCTATAATGAAAAGAAAATACATTTATCATATAGAATGATTATTTTCATCAACTGAAAAATACTATGTATATTACTTATGAACAAATTTCAAAATGCGCCGTCTAGTGTATGAATTGCTTTATAGAAATTCGACATTAGTCATTACTGATATTAATATATTAATATAAAGACTAGAAAAGCAGAATTTTTTAAATACTTAAATGATCGGGCGTTCTTCGTGTCGCGTATATTATATTTTTGAAAATTATTAACACGATGATCACGTAATACAAATACTAATTATATATGTTATAAAATATCAAAAATATATTTACATTAAAAATTACTACAATAAACTTTTTACTATTGATTTTAAAGATGATGTGATTAGAGAATTAAGAAAATTTTGTTAATATATATAATAATGTTCTTACCGATCGATTAAGTATTAAATATTGAAAAATAAACAATATTGCGAGCAATATATTAAATCAGAAAATAAATTTTAATTTATATGCTCAAATATTATTCAATTACTTTATGAGCAAAAAATAATAAATCATATTAAAACGTTATTCAAGTACGATGTAATAACCGCTAATTATTCTGTAAACATGCGAATGATCAGTCTTGTACGGTATTTTATGAATAGAAAAAGTCGTAGTTAAAAATATTAAAAAATCGTAAAAAATTCATTTGACGATGTACTTCTAGTTAAGTACTCGATAGGAGCTCTTTCCGTACTTGTAAATATCAGATTAGATTACACTCGAAGCTATAAAAAGGACAATGAATTTTAGCTATGTTCTTTTAAAGGTATATTCTTGTTACTTTTTAATTTTTCTTCATTTCTCAAATGAAGATGAAGATGAATATATGAATCAATGTAGAAGAAATGTATCAAAATGTACAAACATAAAAAATAAAAGTTATTAAACCTTGTAACAAAGTTTTCGGCTTAGATTGTTCATATTTCTAAACTTTTTTTTATAAAAAATTTGAATATTTATTAAATATAATCTTTTTAAATGAATAAAATTAATACTGATTGTATAAAATTTTAAAAGAACATAGCACATATCATTGTTTAGTTGATTAAAATTCCCACTTTGTAGCAGATTCGTAATCTGTTTCTCCAAGACGCAATGCTCCATTTTTTCCTGCAGTGAGATATCTTCCATCATTATGTTTAATACAAATACGAGAAGGTTCTCGTAATTCTAAATAAAATCCATCAGAAGGTATATCAGAATCTACGGTTACTCCTTCGCTATCTGCATGCCAGTATTTACCGTTTTGACCTGAAATACAAACTTGCTTTTAATGAAAAAAATTATTTTTTCAATTAATCAATTTTTTTCTGTCTAATTTTTGTTTGTAACACTTTTATTGAATTACTATTAAATTCTAAAATCAAATTCTTAATTTTTGTTTACAAAGAAATCCTTTCAGCAATCTCAATTATCCAAAACTGCGAGAACTATAATTTTGGTAATACTATATATTATATAAAAAGAATAATTAATGAATAGGTTCGTTACCTTTAAATCTAACAATTCCACGTTCACATCTTTCTACTCTGATAGTTTCATAAATAGCTTTGTTGCATTCTAATTTCGAACTAGCTGCACTTTTAGGTCCAACAAATCCTTGTTCACAACGTAATACTAAAACAGGTCTGTTCATCAAGTAGAAATAATATTTGCTAGCATCTGAATCCAATCCGTTTACAGAATCTGCGTTGGCGTAAAGATGGCCAGAACGCTTTGTTGCTAAAAATTTGCCGTTGTTCGCACGCAAAGCTACTGTACCATCCTCCGATTGCCAAATCAAATCAAACAAAGCATTAGACGAACGCTTATGTTCTGATGCCTGGATTCCACCTCCTGCTTCAAGACTCCAATAACGATCTTGCATGGTACGTACATACCATCTTTTAGTTACACGATCAAATTCCAATTGAAAAGTTTCATGTCCAGAAATTTCATCCTGATTAGCTGTTACATCAACTCCTAGAAGTCACAATGAATGTTATTATCATTTAACGAAACAGTCATAAGTTGAGATTAACGTTAATTAAGAATCAAATAAATTGAAATTAGAAATTAGAAACGAAAAAAATATACTGGCTTGATAATAACTATTAATTAATATAATTTGATAATAATTTATAATTAAGTATTATAAATCTAATATTATAAATTGGACGATAAAAACAATTAAGACATGTTAGAAAAAGGTACCTTGTTTCACAGATACATATCGTTGATTTAAAGCAGCAACAAAAGACGCTTGTGGTAATGATTCTTCCAAAGAGAACAACTCGTCTCTAGTTACAGTTGTTGATCTTGATTTAAGAACTGCCTTACTTCCGATAGGTGCCAAATATGCCCCGTACAAATCTCTAATTAATCAAAATTTATATTTTTATACTAATCATGATCTTGAAGACAACTATATCATTTAAACTATAATGTACATGACAATCAGACAATCAGAATTTATCTTAATAAAAATATATTATTGGGCTGAATTAATACATTTTGAATCAAAATAAAAAATGATATAAATAATTAAATTATTCTACTATACATATTAATTGACTTAACAGCAATATAACATAAACAGTTATCAAACAATAAAATATAAATAGTTTTTTTTAGTTCTGCAAGAAAATGTTATACTATAATATCAATAGATGTAGAATAGAAAAGATATATTAATAATTCTAACCGGAGTGCAAGTAATCCAGCATGAAATTCAGCTGCATAAAGACAATCCCGAGTACAAGAATCCAAAAGTTTTCCATCACGTGCCAAATACTTGTTGTTACAAGTATGCAAAGCATAATGACCACCTTCAAATTTGGAATGTTCTTCGCCATCGTCTTCTATCGAAGCAGGACGAAATTCTAAAGTAAAAAGTGTATCTTCTCCCCATGGGACTGGTGCGTCAACGTGAATTTCATCTTGCGTTGCACTTAAATGAGCAAATCGTTTTCTTCCAGCAGATTTTAAATTTACCTAAAACAAATTTAAGAAACCAATTAAAATTAAATTGAAACAGATTTTAATGTAATATCTATTTGTTACAATGCATAAAAATAGCAACTCATTAAATATTTAGTAAATTAAATTAATTTTTATATTTAATTTAAAATATTACAATGGAATATTAATAAATTTCATTACTCTTAACAATAAGGATTACTTTTTATATAATTTCGATTTTAATAAATTAACTTTGCAAAAATAAGTTATCCTGGTTATTCGATTTTAGTTTATTTATTACATTTTTTATAAAATTAATAAATATTGAAAATTGTATTTGTTTTTTAAATAAAATTACAAATTAACATTTTTGAATATCCTCACAATATATAAGATAAAGCATAAGTTATAATATAACTCAAAAGCAGATTTTTTACCCCAAATGCATGTACACAAAATGATATTTATCAATTTTCAGTGCACCACTATTGTATATTAAATATTTAATTATCTATAGTTGACAACAATAAGTTTGACAATATAGTCTAATCTAAGATTTGTAAAAACATACTGAAGTTTGTGACCATTATTTTAAACACATTAAGTATATGTGAAGATCATAATACCTTATATTACACTATATTGTTTCATTATGATAATAATAATATTTAATTTCATTTAAGAAGCATTGGTGATTTTAAAATATCAAAAAATATGAATTTAAGAAAATTTTTTTTTATCATAATATGTTTTAATCATTAATATTTGTCTCTTTAAAACATTGTCTTGTGAGATATCTGAGATATCTGACAATTAACGACTAAAATATTTAAGATAATCAAGTTATGTTGTTCATTCTATATATTGAAGAATGTAACTAATATTCTTAAATTTTCTATTTTTCATTTCGTAATATGTAAGAAAATTATTTACTTGAGGTCTAGCAGCAAGATGTACCAGCCAATATTCTGCTTCACTTGGAGCTTTAGCCATACATTTAAGTTCATCCTGACTAGAACCCAGGAAATATCCTCTCTGAATATTTTTCAGAGCCCATCTTCCGCTTCCTAATTGTTTTTAAAAAAGATTAGAAAATCATACTAAATAATTTAATGGAAGTTTTTAATATATAGTTATTCACAATATTTAAGAGCATATTTTGTCGTTTTGTGTAGAATTAAATAAAATAACTTGCTACTCAGCTCCATATAATATATACAATCTATGAAAGTAGATGGAAGTAAATAGTAATGAAAATCTCGTATAATATGCGATAAAAGTTTTTAAAAAGTAAGCAATCTGATCATTTGGTCATATATTTTAGATTTGTTATTATTTTATTTACTAGCACTTAAAACTTTATATACCCATTTAACTATTTGACTTTTCTTTGATAATTTTATGAGAATTTTCATGTGATTCATAGATTATAATTGCTTATTTTATTAGGACATACATACACATTTATACATATTTTTCACAATTGATAAAATATCTTTTACAATTAAGATATAAGATAAAATATATAATATATATTTTACACTTATTATATTACATTAATATAATTTGTCATTCATTTGGAAAAATTAATGATAAAAATAAATTTATATTGTATCAAATATATATTTTACATACCATCAGAAGCTAGTTGTATTTGAAAGGCACAACCAGGATCACTAGGATCTTCTGCCTCACAAGTGACATTTCCAAACTGATCCACTGCTAAATAACGATCTAGATGGGATCGAAGGAAAACTTGCTGTTCACTACCTTCTAAAGTCCACAATTGCTTTTTCTTTAAACTTGAACCATTTGCATTAATTTTAAATCCAAAAGTTTCAGCTGTAAGATATTTGAACTTCCCATTTATCAATCCAACCTAGAAATGAATTAAGTGAGTATTAAAAAATATCAACTTTTAAAATATCCTATCCAATTAGAATAAATTAATTTAATTTTTAATTAGAATAAATTAATTGCAGTATATATAATTCAATGACATTTATTTCTTAAAACTTATTAAAATAAATTAAATTTGTAATTTTAAGTCCTGATTCGCAAATAAAATAATTTTTAAACATTTTAAAACTGAAGTAATGTATAAATAATATTATGTAGTATATATATATATATATATATATATATATATATATATATAAGTAAATAACATATAAAATATGATTTATTAAAAGTAAGATGTACTGTTTCCAATAATTAATACTTACTGTCCATCCCGATTTGTCGTTTATATTTTCAGAACCGACATTTTCAGCACCGTTAGCCTGCATTGTTTCTTTCGTCGAATCGATCGTTATTTAAAAACACAAAAACACTCAGGCAGCTTCTGTAATTAAATATGAATTGCATCTTTTTTTAACTTTTTAATTCAGTGCAGCAGAACAATATGCTTATTGTAATTATAAATAATAAAGTAATATGTTAGAAGATATGACATTATTATTATTATGAACTATTAAATTATTCGTTGAAAAAGATGTATGAAATATATAAAATAATTATTTTTTATAAGTACAGAGATACAATTCTATAATATATATATGAAATGTGAAATGTACAAAATTATTTTTTATAAGTACGTAAATACAATTTTATCAATAGTACAATCATTCTATTTCGGGATAAAATTTATTTTACACAGACATGCATATATAGGGCATCTTAAATTAGATATCAAAACTTCAGGAGCATATAGGGGACTGATAAGATTAAGAGAAAAAGGTCCTTTTGAGATTTGCTCGTTTTCGCTCCATTCTGGAAAAGCTCATAAAAAAAGAAACAAAAAGGTTTTAGTTTTTCCATTTATTTATTTACTATTTACTTAGCGTTATTACCGTATTATCATCTTGTAATACCATCTATTGTTATCTATAATCTATATCACCTCTTTAATAAAGATACTGTTCAAAATACTTGCTTCTCACAGCAATGCAAGCATTACATCAAACGTTAACTGCACTCTGATTGCAGCATAGACATTATTCTAATGATGTTTGGTGCATTGCACCTTATAATTTGGTCTGACAATTGCTCTCCCGAGTTGAATGGCCTGCTGAATAAGTGAAAAAATGAAAACTTCTTTGTGTTTTTTTTTCTCCAAAATGAAACAAAATCGAGAACATTTTTAAAGGATTTCCTTTTATTAATCCTCTATACACTCTCATCAAAGCTCAAAGTTTTGACATTTAAATTTAGGACATCTTGTATATTGTACTATTGTACATTTCTATTGTTACTATATGTTGCGTTTCTATCATTACTATTATAGTTTATAACAGAATTGGACAAATTTTATTCGATATAAAGATAAACAAATAACAATTTCAAATAATGAATTATTTTATCACTCATTTATTTATAATCTTTTAATTTTACTCAAAAAGTAACTTTATCTTGAGTTCAAATCAAATGGATTATTTTCAAATAATTCTTCATTTGTATTAATCGAAATATAATAACAAATTATCCTAGCAGAAGGTGAAGCGTACACAATAGAATCAGAAACTAATTTGAAAAATTAGCAGTTCCTACAGTTGCAGAAACAAATGCAAAATACAAAATGAAATGAAATATTATTTCATTCGATAGTCAAACGATGAGTTAATTTCAAGAAAAATCATTTACTGATTCAAATAAAATTATTTTAATATTTTATATTTTTATATTTTAATATAAATATAATATATTTTAAATTAGTTTAATATCGATTTCAAATTTATCTCAATTAAATTTCAAATCTAACTAGAATTATTTCAAGATCGAGCCAAACAAAACGATGTGTTACTTAAACAATCATCTTTCAAATATTTTGTTCAAAATAATGGTTGTCAATATTTTGTTCAAAATAATCGTGCCTGTACCAAACTAAGGTTTGGTCTCTCAGTTACTCTCCTGAGTTGAATGGCATCGAATAAACTTACTGTGCCAAATGAAAAATTTTTTCTTTCCTTTCTTCACGATTTTCTCTAAAATTAACCAAATTTTTAAAGGACTTTAGATTTCTCTCTCTTAATTCATCGATTTTTCTGTACGTTACCGGACATCTCGACATTTAAATTCGGGACACCCTGTACATACGCGTAAGCCTGACCTCTCCCCTCGAATGATAATTTTTAAAATACAGTTCCCAACTTAGAGTATTGCCTTTATTCCGAAAGTCTTAAGATACATTTTATTTTCAACCCTCGTGAGTCCGTGACTCATTTCCTACGTGGTTTCCGCCGCCTGGGTGGGGCCAATTTCTTTTAAGAAAATGTATTTAATGTTTCTTGTTAAGAAAATGTATTTTATTGTTTGTTAAACTTTTTTTTCTTTAACGAATGATCCCTATTAATTTTTATTGATCGTCCACCTCTAGTTCTAGAAATGGTATGTTGTATCCTTTTCATTTGTAAGTCCCAATGTTTTATTCAACGTTGCAACATTATTGTCGGATAAATTAGTAAAATATGTAAAAGAAATTATATATGAAGAAAATTGAATTCTTTTTTTTTTTTCGTCAGTTGATTGATTAATCTCCCTTTGCTTTATTATTATCACAATAAATACTTGTTTAACAAAAATTAATATATTTGTTTTCAACAGTCGTACGTTAAATCAATAAAATACAATGTATTACTAAGTTCTTGATAAGTTTCTTATATTCGCTGTATTATACTACAAAATAATTTTTATTGATGTAAATACATTGTATTTCGAAATTAAATCACCAGCAACGAGGATGGAAATTATACGTAGAAGTACAAAGATATACGAGTCAAAAATCAGTTAATTAAACCATAATGCAAAATCAATAGCACGATACGAAAGCCAGAACAATGACTGACGTTCCATCCACCCAGTTTGACAAAACCTACCTCTGCATAACAAATACGGATTAAAATGTTGCAATAATATCGAATATTAAACATCAAAAATTGAATTAGAAATGTAGAATAATTAATCGGATAATATGTTAAGTCGAAACATTAAATTAGAAGATTCTAAAAAACTGATAAAGATAAAATACATTTAAAGTATCCAAAAAAAATAAATGTTTTTAAAGATATGATTAAATAAAACGACTGAAGTATAATGTTAATTAAAATTTTGCGGCGAATTAATTTCATTTGTTCAATAATCGACGAATGACAAATAAACAACAATAATATAGATATAATAATATCTACAGTTCAAAATTTATAATTAACGCGAGTATATGGACACGTATATATATATATATATATATATATATATATATATATATATATATATATATATATATAGAATAAAGATAATGTAATAAAAATTTTAAATAAAATATTACGATTTTGTTGCTAGGTACATTTATATGCTTACCAGGTGGAAAAGTATGTGTTTAGTCTTGAAAAACCACTAAAGAACAATGATAGAGACAGAATGTATCGCAATAGAAGATACAAGTCACGAGCGACGAATTATATTCGCCACAACAAAGTATATCCAGCCAACAACTGACTTAACTCGCTTGTTCTTCTCAGTTTGTGTTAAGGATCTCTCAGGACTTCCGACGCATGCGCAAAATCTGACTCCACCATTCAGGTCAGGACTGTATATGAAATGTAATATTGCCGGGGATGTCGTAAAATTCTTCTGTTTCTTTCTTATAATTATTCTTACTAATTACCTGCGTTGTAAAAGCTGCTCGACACCATAACGTTGACTCATGCAACGCACAGTTATGCGTGACATTAACAATTTACTGATGGTGAATGAGTAGTTACATGCAGTGGAGATAGCGTGTCTTTAAATTCGTACGGCCCTGCAAAATTTTACCAGAATGTCGCGCGTGCGCGTTTTAATAAGGGGGTCGCGAACGATAGACAGAGGATACAGAAAGAGGAAAAGGTGGGGAATAAGCATGCATCGAACTGTCGGCTTTCCGGAGTACTGTGAACCCACAGATCGACGACCCTAATACTTTTGTAATTGTTGTTTCTTCGATGACATTTTTATATACTTCCCGCTTCTTTTTTTTTAATTTATTTATCTTTTTATAATCATTTATTCCTTTTTCATATAATTTATACTTCATATTTCATATAATTAAACTCCTTTTGTGAAACATTCAAAATATTTTTGTGTTGTATTTGTGCATATATATATATATATATATATATGCGCAAGTAGTTTCTACAATTATTTATATCTGTTTTACCTTTTAATTTTATAATTATAATTTAATTTTAGTTTTATAATTATTTTAATTAATTATATATTTTTATATAATTTAATAAATTGTAATCTTCTAATATTTGTCATAACAATTTTATGTAAATAACTACGAAATATTTAAGTTTCATTAAAATAATTGTTATCAGTAATATTTTTATCAATAATTGTATATATAATAAAACTTGCAATAAACATATGTATGTTCAGTAAATTGGAATTGTAAAAGATACACTTATATTTTACATATAATACATTATAATATATTATAATTTAGATACTTTGTTAAAATGTTTTCAATCGTACAAATCATACAAATCATTAAGTTTCCAGCGAAAGATCGTTTTAAATTCTACTAAAGCTACTTCTATGTAATACTAGAGAAAAATATTAAAATAGTTATATAAATTAAATAAATTATGAAATAAAGTTTTTATACGATATATATTCTTAATTATTTATATATATTCTAATTACTTAAGAATTATGAAATATATTTATATAAAACAAAATTTTGTATAAATATATTTTTATTGGTTTGAGTGTATAATGGAATTTCCTAATTAGACCTCCCTCGCAAAAACAGATACAGATGTAATTAGGAACTTAATCTTAATTCCTTAGAGAATTTACAGTTAAACGATATACAGTTATTTTGTCCTCTTTATATTCGATACAGAGTTTCTTCCATAATTATCTTTTTCAAAGGTCATTTAAAATTTCACCAATTATATTTTAAAACTGATAAATGGTGCATAATTCACAAATCAAATATATTGCTAGTAAAGTAGACATTTGGAACTAGATTTAAAATACAGAAATAACAGAATAACAAAAATAAATATATTGTCTATTTGTGTTTCTTTTTTTTTTTAACTTTAAATCAATATATCACTTTAGCGCAAATAGTGCTGACAGAATAATATGTATTTCTTTCACAGAACTCAATTTCTGAGAAAAAAATTTTAAATGGCATTTCGCTGTGTAATTGAAATTTATCATTTATTTTTAAACAATGAGACAATTTAATTCCTCGAAATTTATGTAACCTGAAATTTTTATATTTAATATGTACATATATATTAATATATATAGTTATATACCGATTATTAATTTCATTATAATAAGCAATAAAACAAGGTCAACGGTGTCTAATTATTAATAAATATATGTCAATTGAATATTCAGAATCTCATCTCTTTTCATTCAGGAAGTTTAAAACTTTGGAGCGTATCTAACAAGATTAATTTAACTTTTTTTTTCAAATTGCGGACGCAGAACAGTTTTAAATTTCTTTTATTTGAGATTGAATTTAGACTTTTAGGCCATACATTATATATCCTGTTTACTTAGAAATTATTAATTTTTGTTGATAAATTATATATCATATCATTATTATAAAAAAGTTACGTAAATACTTGTCAATAAAAATTCAAATGAAAAAACTTCATTTTATGATATGCGTTATCCACTTGTATATCAAGCACTTTATTCAAGTTATTACGACTAAGATCGCATATGAATGTAAATGAATTTATATAAACGTAATCGATAGAAAAGAAAAAAAAAGTGTATAAACATATGTATACGAATAGAGATATTTCTTAAATTATAATTACAATCAATATTATAATTTTTCACATGTTAGAACTTATAATATACATGTAATACATATAACATATTATTATTGTTTTATATATTTTATATATCATAAAATATTACATACTGAACTTGTACAGACTACAACCTGAGATTTAATAATATCCAAAGAAGATTATAAAGTTTTCTAATTGTTTTGAATAAATAGTTTATCATTTATAGCAACAGAATTTATTTCAAGATAGTCTATAATATGTATAATATATTATTGTTGTACTATATAGTTTATATATTTTAAAAAATTAACATGCATTAAACTTGTACTAAAGTCTGAGATTTAATATTATTAATATTACAATTAATATTACAAAAGTATATTACAAAATTGTCCAGTTGTTCTAAATAAATAGTTCATTTAGCAGCAGAGTTTGTCTTAGAACAGCCTAGATTCTAGATGCATCTAGCAACATCATTAGGAAAACTGTAACTGGATAGAGAGAAAGGAAGAATGAATAAAAAAAGGAGAAGAGAAACAGTTCGTTGACCGTCAAAGAGAAGTCAGAAGCGTGACTGTAACCATGACTATGATCGTAATCCTGATCGCAACCGTGATCGTAACCATGACCGACTTGCCTTTGCAAATCTTTAGAAAGTTCTCTATGTGTTTCATGGATATATGTATAGGTTTATATTTGTATAGGTATATTTTGTAAAATTAAAATTGAAATATTTCTTTTTTCAACATTAATATATTTTTTATTGGGAATGGCCTACTACATCGTGAAAGAACTTAATTGTGATTCCATTCATAAAAAAAAAAAAAAAATAGTATTGACCTTCATATTTCCTTTACGCATCCACAAACTAACTGCACTAAATTGCTGCCTCATTGAAACAGAAAAAATTGTATTTTTTCGAATAACGAACAGTTATGAAGATAATTGCAATTTATAGATTAAAGCGGGGCACCTTGTATATATGTAGGTTACAGAAATAATTTGTTCTCGAAATATTATATTTTTCAATTATTTTATAAAGAAGAAGAAACAGACATACGTTTATATATGTTTTTTATATATTTAAAAATACATAAATATATACGTAATATATATACATACATATATGATAAAAAACATATATAAAAATGTATAAATATATAAAATAAACAAAATAAAATAGATACTAATTAATTTTAACGAAGATAATTAAATTGAATATACATATGAAATAATTAAATTGAATATACATATGATTAATTTGACGCAAATGATAATGATTAAATTGAATATACATTATATGATCCTGTCATCATTAACATTATTTTTTAATAATAAATAAATACTATATTTTATACAATTTTAGTGCAAAATATTTATAAATTAAAGACATCTTTGTAATTAAATACATAATACATTTATACATGTATAAATACATAATATATTTATAAATACATATATACATTTTCGATTATTTCTTTAAATGATCGATTTTAAATTTCTTTTTTCATTAATCTATTTCTATCTACATATTAATTGTATATATTTTATTAATATATTCTCAATAATTTGCAGATAATTCAAAATAATTTAAAATAATTAACTCCAACAACAAATAACGATTTGATAAAAATTATAGTATCTATCGTGTTCAAGAGAAAAGCGTAATAAATAATTACAAATTTATGTGTTTTGAATGTTAATCATTATCTTTTTATCGTAAAAAAATGCATGACATCTGTAACTTAACCTCAAATTTATTATAGAAGTGTGCATGTATACATTATACTTTTTCATACACTTTGAAACTTTATATCTTCAAAATACATTTAACAAAAAATTTTTTAATAATACAGTATTTCCTTATCTTTAAATTTGGATAATATAAATTTAATAATAAAAGCAATTAAAATCAATAAAATTTATATTCAAGAACAAGAACTATATTTATTTAACAAAATGTACCAAAATATAATTTTTTTATAAATATCTCTTTATAAAAATTAAATGATTGATATTATCAAACATTTTAAGTAATATAAAAATGAAATACGTTCAAAAACACAAAATCAATAATAAGACATACAATGAATACAATGAAAATAAACGTCTTATCAAATATTAAAGTTAAATAATTACAGAATGTTGTATTTTTCTCAGAAAATGTATTTTATATTTGCAACAATCATTACCTTATCTTTGAGTATAATAATTTATCAGGTATTTTATATTTATTAATAAGATGTCTTATATTATTAACAACATATATACATAGTATATATATGTTTGTATATATAATACATATTACAATATAAAATATATCACAGCATTTAATATATGCATATGAGTATTATACATTATGCTAAAACTTATTGATGTTAATATATGTTACTATTTAAATACATTAATATTTAGTTATTAAAATATATAGCTTTAATATAAATTACCAATGTGATTAACAGATCTACTTAATTCAAATTGATAATAGATTATATCATCCAGGTATATAAATGCATCAAGTCTTCATGTTAATAATATCTTTATAAAAGTATATAAAACAAAAATATAAAAATTAAAGAGATATTAATACATATTTTTTCATCATGCTTTTATAGCGATACCCATAATTTTATGGTGGACACCTTTTGGAAATGAGAAATTACGGGATTGTGGAAATTACCAATGTTATTTTACAAGTAATCGGTCCTTTCAATACCATAAACAAATAAAAGTAATGTATATAATATATATAGAGTTTTATATACAATTTGTTAGAAATAAATTCTGAAAGATATTGAAAATTTAAAAAATTCTAACTATTCTCTAAATTTTCACGTAGGATTATCATTACAAATTCAATTATAATACATTTTTCATTCATGACTATTGAACTTATTAAAATTAAGATAGTTAAAAACTAACATTATTACTAAATAAAAATTAATCAATTTATTATTATAAATTTAATTACTTAAAATTTATTAAATTTATTATAAATTTAATAAAATTTATATTTATTATAAATGTGCAAATTAACTAAAATTATTATTGGAAATTTATATTGTCCTTAATTTTCAGAGTTTCCTTTTCTACGGTAGTAGTTTCCAAATTGATGATTTACCAAAGTGGAAATCTGATAAAATTCCATGGGGTTTGCTTCACGAAGAATCTCCAAGAAATAATCCAATATTACTTCAACAGAAAACATTGAATCTTTTCACATACACTTCGACATTTAGCAGATTCAGTGATGTACCTCTAACTCTTGTAGATCTACCTGGAATCACAGAATTATTAAGTAAATATAATAAAGATATACATATTAAAATTGCTAAATAATCTTTCTGCCCTTATTACAGCATTATATTATGTTATTACAGTATTATAAATGTTATTTAGCGCGAAAAGAAAATCACATATTTTTATAACACAAGTCAATCAATAACACATTATGTTAATAGTTAAAAAACTCTGATTTTTCAGGTAAGAAGTATTTTATATCTACAAAAGAAAAGACAAAATTATTGCGTGAAAGAAATTTGGCACCATTACTTTATATACAATCTGATTGCGATACTGCAAGTAACAGAGATATTTATGTAGCTGAATTAATGAAATATATACGTGTAGATTCATATGGCACATGTTTAAATAATGCTCAACTTGATAAAAGGTAAAATATTTAAATAATAATTGTACTGTTATTTATTTACTATTATTTTTATAAAGAATTTAATTATAATTTAGGTTAAAAGAAAATTACCTTGAAATACTGAACAATGAAGATTTTCTTTCTTTTATTGCCAATTACAAGTTTACAATAGCATTTGAAAATGCAGTCTGTGATGATTACATCACTGAAAAATTATGGAGGCCCTTGATTGTTGGATCTATACCTATATATTATGGATCACCATCATTTAAAGTATTAAAAAATATTATATAACTACAATCTTGATTAAAAATCATTTTAATAGATTAAATTAATTGATTTCTTTGAATGAACATAAATTTCTCAATTTGATTGTAACGATATTACAAAATTAATCAATTGCTTTGTATTTTATGTTATGTACTTTATTCAACATCTAGAATACAGAAAAATATGTTATACATATATAAATATATGTGAATATACATATTTAACAAAATTAACTAATATAATTTTGATTTTGTTTTTTAGGACTGGCTTCCAAATAATATGTCTGCTATCTCAGTACTTGATTTCAAAGATCCAGCAAATTTAGCCAACTTTTTACATAATCTTTCTAATAATGAAATTGAATATAATAAATATTTATCTCACAAATTAATTGATAACTATGAAATAGAAAATGAAAGATTGAAAGAGGTATTAGAAAGAAGAAAGGAAAGTTCTAATGAGTTTGGAAATTATGTTGAAGAATTTGAGTGTTTCGTTTGCACAAGTATATATCAACCAAAAAAATCAAAAACTGTTGACGAGAAACATTATAACTGTCCACTGCCAAAAAATCCACTAACAAACGAAATTGATCATTCGAATTGGTGGACAAATCAATGGATTTTAGGAAAATGTAGTGCGACATTATTAAGTTATCATTTGCAAAATAACCTTACAATTAACAAGGAAAATTTTGAAAAAGATAAAATGAAATTATATGATACAAATGAATGTTGAATTTATATATTTTTTTAATGGGCAAACCAATGAATTTTACAAAATGTAGTACGACGTGATTAAGTTATCATTTGCAAAATAACATTACAATTAACAAGGAAAATTTTAAAAAAGATAAAATGAAATTATATGATGAAAAATGAATGAATTTAATTTATATATTTTTATTTTATGTATCGAATGATTGCAAAAGTCCCAATTTTCAAAAGTGTTTTATTTTTAAATTGCATACAAAATTCTGCAATTATCCAATATAACAAAACATTATTATATCATAATTTATACTTTTGTGGTTTGTTTTTATTGTAGAATTTAGAAAAAAGTGGTATAGACTATAGAATAAAAAGAAATCTATATTTTTATAAATATTTAAAAGAACTATTAAAAACACATTATTTAAAACAGCGGATTGTATAAAGAAAAAGAAGAGAAAAAATTATATATGTACTATTCAATAAAAAATATATACAATATAAAATAATCCTTATATTTTATAAAATAGAAATATTGTATATTATAATTATATAGGTTATCTTATCAAAAAATATCATTTTTGTTCATTTGATTTCGTCTTATCTTGAAACTAAATCTATTTATATGTATATCATAATTTTTAAATTATATTTTTAAAACAATTTAATATAAAAAATAAAAGATTTAAATCAATAATAGAATAGTATACAAATTTATTTTTTATATTTTTATTTAAAAAATAAAATAAAATTATGTTTGTTGTTGTTGCAATACAAGTTCCAATGGCTTGATAAACAAAAAATTCTATCTATAAAATATACAACAAAATAATTATACTACTACTCATGATTTTTATTTATTATCATAAAAGTTGTGATGGATTAAATATATAATATATATTATAGTTAAAGTTCTTAGTCTGTTAAAATAAAAAAATTAGTCATTAATAAACAATAATTTATTTTAGATAATATATTAATATTGAGTAATATCATACTTAATATTTATTATGAATAAATATATATTAGTAAACAATGTTCTAATATTTTTTGTTTAAATATCATCAAGATTATAATTCAAACATAACGAGAAATACTAAAAGATTTCAAGACAAATCAAAGTTAGAAAGAAAATATTTAGATACATTTTTATTGACATACATATAAATATTATTCCGTATTAGGAACAAAGTTAATATCTATTTTTGAGAAAATAACCTATATTAATATTGATATTATAAGAAAATTAATATCAAAATTCTACTTACCAGTTTAATGGAAAAATTCTAGAGAAAGCTTAATTTGCAATTTTATTTTGCAAAATAGGAGCAGGTACATTCATTAAATCACAAAGTTGATTTCTTATCGGTCGGAGTTCAGAAACTGATTGTTCCCAGTCAGTGACATTTAATTCAGTCAAAATTTTGATTAAATCTCGTTCTGGAAGATCCATTTCTTCCCCATAAAGAGTTAAAGCTTCATATGTCCTTATTGCAGCTACTTTTCGTATACATTTATATTTATGACAAAGAAAAATACTTAATTGACAAAATGCTCTTTTTGCAACTGGTCCATGTACCTGAAAAATTTATTGCCATTTTGAAACTGTTGTATTATTTTTAATATTAAACACTAGAATATAGTGAATACCTGTAAAAGTTGACAAAAAACATTTATACTGCTAATTAACAATTTGGTATTATTTGTATTCTTTATTTCTTGTTTAAGTAGCATCAAAATTCGTTCTGCAATTCCGTTTTCAGAATCATCAAGAATAATTTGAATGCAACCAGAACTAAGTAAGCGATCTAAGAAAGCTAGCATTGACGTAATCATTCTTTCATTTTTATGACTCTCTTCAAAAATATCTAAAATTTTATAACATAAATTTTTGAGTCCCAATTCGTCTATTTCTTGTAAATAAGAAAATAAGGAAACACTAGAATATTTAACCTGAAATGGAAAGTTAGAAATATATGATTAAGTACCAAAAATAAGATACAATTATTTACATAATTCCATACCAAAGATTCACTTAGGCCACCGACACTAAATATAATTCCTCGTAATAGATTCATTGTATAGGGAGAATAAGATAACATTTTAATAAATCGTGGAAATGTAGCAGATTCCATTCGCCATTCTATACTTTCTTTGCATTCATCATAAGGAAAAATAGCTTTTAATTCTGTATGATATGGAATGTTTGGTAAGGAAGGATCATTATGAATAAGAGCACTGAAAACAATTCCCGCTTGCGCCCGAATTCCATCAATTCTTTCAACAGCTTGTTGAGCAATTCCTCCAATTATATTCGCCATTAAGTTCTCATTTAATACAGAAAATAATTGTGCTTGTGATACTAAGTTTGTTAGTATCTGAAATTATTTGAAAAATCTTAATTTAAATAATTCACGAAGTATGTAAATATGGGACATTGAAAATATTTTTACATGTAAACCAGTCATTGCTGCTTCTCGTACCCAAGCTCCTATGTCTCCACGACTGTCTATAGTATATTCTTTCAATGCTAATAAGTAACAATCATACAAGTCGTGAACATATATATGCCACTTATCTAAAAAATATAAGAATATTATTTACATAATATGTAAAGAATTAATTAGTTAGTTATTTTAAACTCTAATTTAATAAGTAATAAACCTGCTTCTTTTACTCCTAGAGTTTGACAAACCATTATCAATGCATGGATAGCTTCTTTCCTACTTTCTGCCCATTTTAAAGTACTTTCTGATATTTCAGTACATTTAATAAGAGCTTCTATTATGTCTTTTACTCTTTCACAAATTATAAATAAAGGGAAATGGCCTAACAAAAAATTATTAATTGTTAAATAATCATAATTATTTAATTTATAATATCAATCAGAAGATACATTTATGTCAGAGTATCCCATTTAAGTCATACATTTCAATTATTTTCAGTGCTATTAAAAGTGTTACAAAAATTGACAGAGGCATATACACTAATTATTATTTTTTATTTCCAATTTTATTTAATTGAAATTTTACTTCAGTTTTGGAAATAATTTAGATGTTTGATATTTTATATAAAAGTATATTATCTTAAAAGTCATAATTGATATTATAGATTTAATTTTCACAAAAATTTTTTTCACATTACCTATAGCCTGTGCAAAACCTATTCGAACAAGTTGATTACTTGATTGTAAATTATCAAGATACCGATTAATGACAATATTGCGATCTTGATTGCTCATACTTGCATAGTACTTTTGGAAAAATTCTGTGTGTGCTTCAGCGGCTTTTATTTTTACTACAGACACTTCATGTCCTAAACATTCTTCTAAAAGATTTTGCCAGTCATCTATAAAAATTATCTTTGTTTATTTATATTGTGCTTAAAACCACATAAAATTTAATAAAATATAATTAAGTTCAATTTATATAATTAGTATCAATAATAATGTACTGTAAAATATTTTCATGTAATCATCATTAAAAATTATCAAACGGATATTAATATTTTATTTTCAAATTTTATGTCAATGCATTATAAGTAGAATTTCAATTATATTTTTAGCATATATAATTGTAAATTTTTATTAACCCTCATCCGTTCATCATTTTTCCAAATTAATTTATCCTTTTGTATCAAAGTAATACAATGGCAAAAAATTAATACCTATAATGAAAAGATAAACAGTTAACTTCTTTTAATTAATTGTAAACAAACTAAATTTTTATTAATATAAAATTCACAAAAATTCTACTTTTATGTGTTCAATTTTATATTATTATCTTGTGTTTTCTAGTTTTGTATAATGTTATGACCATTTATTTTAGACTTTCATTTATTACATCTATATTCAAAACTATAACGTCTATTTGCATCTTCAAAAAAGTTGTACATTGAATACATAATTGATATAATAACAAGATAATACATAGATATACTGTGTATCACGTACTCTAATAATAAATATCATTTGCATTTTATAAGAAAAGTATATTGAATTAACACAAAAGACAGATAAGGGTTAATATATTGTATTTTTGTTTATATGTATATATATTTATGTATAAACATGTGTAGTAGAAGTAATGAAGTAAGATATATATAGTAGATATTAACTTACAAATAATCTTGGTGGAAATTGGAAAATGAACAATAGAACATTTTTTTATAAGCACAGCACATGCTTGTTTCATTAATTCTCCTCCTAGGCCTTTGAATTGTCCTCTTTTTCTAAAAATGTTGACTATATCTCTGATACTTTCTACTGCCAACAGTCCAATTATATTTTCAATTTCTTCGTTACAACAATTATACAATGCTTCCAAGATTTCTGCAATCGCCAATACTGCACCATGTCTAACATTTAAATCAATAGAATTTAGCATATCTAATAAATTTAATAAAACTGTATCCTTAACATAATTAGGATTAATAGGAGTTAGATTAAAAAGGGCTTTAGCTGAAAGTTCTCTAATTGCTGTGTCCCAGTGTGTGACTTTTCTGGTAACCAAATGATCAATTAAAGGCTTTGTATACTCTTCATATTGTGCAATTTGTGTACTAATTTTCAAGTATGCATGATTCCTAACTCCAACTTCAAAATAATCAGCAATTGTAAGTATTTCTATTCCATGTGGGAAATTTCCTTGTCTTCCGACATTTTCTTGAAATGCTGCAGAGGCAGCTCTTCTACAATTAATTTCTCGATCAAAACAAGTAACAATTATTAACGTAGCTGCAATCTCTTTTACATATGGTTGAATTATATCAGGATCATATGCTCTTGGGAATGACCAACAAATATAGCATGCTGCATCTCTGATCAAATATCCAATTGAACCATAAGCTCTTGGTTCATCAAATACTAAGGCCTGAAGAACAACTGGTATCACATCATTCAAACGATGAGGAAGAAGAAGACCACGTCTTCCTAATTCTGCTAATGCTAAACAACCACCATGCCAAGCAGAATCTGATTCACGACCACAAAATAGATTTAACACAAATCCTACAACATCATCTGCCAAATCCATTGGTAATCTTGCTGTTATTCTACCGATTCCTTTTGCAGCAGACCACCGTATTGTAATTGCCTTGTCTCTAAGACCTTGTATAAGTTGTTCAATTATATCTTCTATCGCTGATGGAATATCCTGATCGTCATGATTTAACGAAACATTTTTAGCATCTTCCACACTTTCTGCAGTATTATATTTAATACTAATATTAGGAACTAGGCATATAGGTCTACTAGTTCTTTGATATCTCCACGAAGCTAATTTTGTTCCTAATAGCACCAGTCCAATTCGTTGTACAATTTTAATCCCAAATTTCCGTATAAGATCTGCAGGATTGTCGTTCAGATGAAATTGCAACACTTTATCCAAAATTGTTTGTATATATGGCTTAACATCTTCCCTTGCACTGTGCTTTAATATGGCTGCTACAACTGCTAACGGACCGTGTCTTAGAGGGTCATTTTCGGCACACTGCAAGTTCCACATTATCATTTCCTTCAAATACAATTTCTTTACATCTGATCTTGACAAGAAATTGGCGATTAGAAAAACTGCAGCCACGGCACAGGCATCCTTTGACAAGCAAAATAATTTGCACATTTTCAAGATTCTAACTATTATCGACTCTTCTGCGTTAACATTCGAAACTTCTAAACGTGAAAGTGGAAATGGTATCTTTGAAATTATTGACAGCCAAATTAGAAGTACGTATCGAGTTTCCCACGTCTCTACATCATTTGGATCCTGTTTCTCCAGCATTCGCAGAACAGGGAGAAGGTCTGCTACCTGCATTGGATTAAATTTATGTATTTCATGTTTGAGATATAACAAAGGAGAGGTAAGATAAATAGATGGATACTAGACAAACAAAAGAAAAATTCTGCATACCTCGTGTGGAAGGTATGTAACAATTTTTTTGTACGTTTTAACAGACATCACAATGAAAATATACTTGAAAGCATTATGTCGCATGGTTTCTGTGGAACTTTCATCTCTGATGATACAGATCAACGGCTGTAGAATATCATCCAAATATGGGTCTAGTAGTTGTCTTTGGTCCTGGTATTGCGACAGAATGAAATTAAATCGATCTCGATTCTTCTCGACAAGGCTTGAAGAAAGATCGGCCTTTGTCAACTCCGCAATCAAAAAAGTCACCTCGTCAATTTCTTTGAAAGCACTTAACCCACAACCGATTGTCTCCGATTCCGGACAATCGTTCAACATTTTTCCCCCTCACAACGTTTCGCGTTTTATTAAGAAAGAAAAGCGAGCACAATCAACTGTAATTCATTCCCACGCGATTAAATTTTCGTGTGACAACTCGTAAAATGTTGTAGAACAGATTTTTTCGAATGATTTCACGTGAAACGATGCCGACATTACGGCGCATGCGTGGCGGTACAATAAACCTTTTATGAATTTTCACATGTTACAAAATTTCTATATTTGTTATGTGCTTTTACAATTGATACTTCTTTCTCAATAATGTATATATATATATATTTATAAAATTTATATTAAAAATATATATATATATTTTTTTTGGATATCTGATATTTTGAAATAAAAACTAGTAACATTTAGTAACTGTGAAAATAATATTTGCAGATAATATATATTTTTAAACGTGACTATAATAATAATTTTTAAACATGACTATAATAATATATTTAATTATAATATATTTAAAAACATGATTTTCTTATGAAGAAAGTATTATTCCACAATTTTTGACTCATTGTGTTGCTTTTTCTGATTGTATTATTAGTTACGACATTTCATACACAAGATTTAAAATAAAGTGATACAATTCCAAGTAACATATTTCCTTTGTGTCAAGATTATAAGATCAACCTGAGTCATTTCATTCACAAATAATACAAATCAATTTTTTCACTTCTAGTTAACATCTATTTGACATTTCGCAAAACATGGAGAAAGTCTGCTACCTGTGATTAAATTTATGTATTTCATGTTTAAGATATAACAAAGGAGAGGTAAGGTAGATAGATACTAGACAAATAGATAGATAGAAAAAAAGCTTTTTTCTATTTTGTGATAAAATGCTGTAAGATGATGACTCGCACAAAGAAAATCATTGCATTTTAATGGTTCTTCATTATTCAGAAATTGACTTTTTTCACTTCTAACATCTCTGCATTGAACAATTCGCATCCAAGTAACCTTATTGTAAATGACTGGTTTGATGTTTTAATCAATTAAATTGTCATGTAAATCTGATTACATATGATAGCTTAATTGATTGATTTATCGTTTCTTAATTCTGCATTGTATATATGTAATTTCTGCAATATAAATATTAATTTACAGGAGTACGATCAATTCTTTCATCACTGATAACTTTAAAAACCTCAATTTCAAGTATAAATTAGAATGCGTACTTTTAAATGAAATCATTAAATTTTTGATATTTCTTTATAGTTATACTAATAAATAATAGTAACATACTAATATACTAACAATTGTACAAACTAATTATAAAGATACTTGTTAAGCTAAATTAATCACAAAGATATTTGTTTATCACTGATTATAAAAATAAAACAGAATTCAGATTTGGGAATAATTGTTAAGAATAATTGCTTTGATAATAAATGATTTATGATAATAAATTCTAAAAGATATAACAACTATGAAAATCGTATGCAGCAGAGATGAACTTAGATTCAACGCTAAATTGTTAGCATAATAAATTCCAACATTTGTACATTTTAAAAATGAGAATTATCACTCCAAGTCTAACTGGATAATACATTATTTATTGTTGCAGTATATTACCATGTATATTTTTTTTTTTTATTTCTACAGAATTTATCGATATTCAATACGAATGTTGTTATAATTATTATTTTTATTCTCACTCTTATATAATAAGAAATAAGTTCATTTTGAAATTTCAGTGTATTTCACATATTCATGCGACATAACCTGTTGTAAGCAAGGAGACGGTATAATAATCGTAATTTATTTTTTATCACGTTATCATTGTGTGTAATTAAATTCTGTAATTTATTGTTTTTAAATGCCCAACGTGTAGGAAATACCGAGAAACAAGTAAAAATATTTGTCCACGAGGTGAAGGTGCTGCCTAGTACCCTTTCATTGAAGTGGTAGAATCAAGAAGTTTTCGGGATTTCAGAAAAATGGAGGTCGTGGTTCAGTCGAAATTGTGAATCTGTCTTGTCGAAGAGGGCTTAAATTCTGTTGTTTTTCATGTAATAACAAATTTCTTACACGTTTCTCTCGATTCTTGATATTTTACTTTATTTATAAATCGGAACTCCAGAAAGTGAAAATCGATTTTTATGGAGTAAAATGCAGGAGAGACGGTACATCTCTATTGTACGCTTTTCTCAATATACTTTTAAATCTAAAATTTTCACTGAATCTTGAGGTATTCCAACTATTGATAAAAAAATAGTTTTTATTTTTTAGATATAGTTTTTACATACAATTCCATAATTTTGCAAATAACACCTTCAACTTTGCAATTACATTTATCTCAATTTGTTTCCTCTTTAAGACATTTACCATTTTTTTAGATTATATAGCATATAATACATAAGTTTCAGAATTCTTTTTATTTTTTATGAAATTTAAATTTATTGAACTTATGTAATTTTATAACGTATTATTTATTGCAGTTTTAGGAAGATAATACGTTGGATGTACAAGACTCAATATAAAATGAAGTCGAAAACAAAGGCAAAAAAGCCAAGTAGGAAATTGGGGAAGGTCACTCCTACAGAAATTTCTACTAGTTCAGATTTATCACAATTACGTCCACCGGTGGATACAAGCATTTCAACTTTATATCGTGTGAGCAAAGTTTTAGAAACTGGCAGCGATGAAGTTAAATCTATCTTAGCATTTGAATGTGATTTAATATATGAATGTCGCATATGCCAAAGCCTCTTCAGAAGTTTGGCCAATTTTATTTCCCATAAACGGGTCTATTGTAAAAAAAAATTTGATGTTACTTTTGCTAAGAACTCTCCCAACGACTCTGACATAGTACGTATAATACATTATGAAATAGTATTTTATTATACTTCCATATAAAAATAAGATTGTTACAGTTATATATATTTAAACAATAATAATTTAAAGATTTCTTAAATAATAATTTAATTTTGATGAAATCTTAGTAGAGTATATTAATATTAGATTTAATATATTATAGTAAGTTGTACAGTACAAAATACATGAAGAGATTTTTAAAATATTTTTCAAAATTATGTATTATTTTCAGTTAGAAAGTACATAAAATGTTGGATAGCTAAATGTTTTGATATGAATATATTTAATGAAAAATAATAATTTTAATTATTATTTAAATTATTATTTATATATGTTGAGACTAAAACAATACTAGAAAAAAATTTTTTAATTTAAAGTATATAAAGAAAAACATAGTATTTATAATAATAATTTCAATTTCATAAATATTTATATCGTATATTGTATATATATAATAAATATTAAGCTATGTGTATATGGATATATAACATATGAACATATATATATATATAATATATAGCTAATATTATAGTGAATGATATATTATTAAAAAGTTAAATTATAAATAAATCAAAATGTATAATTTGTATATTTTACAGATTCCCACAAATAATTTAGATGCACAAAAAGAATTTGAAGAAGTTGGTGGAAATGATAGAATTTTAAGAAGTCAAGTCTGTAAAGAAAAGGAAAAGAAGGATCTTAGTACAGTTGTTGATATGTTACGAAAAAAACAAGTAGGAACGAATACTGAACGATTATATTTGGAAACTGTACATTCAAATTCATCAGCAGTTTATCAAACTGTTGAATCAGTGGTTTCAAGTGAGAGTTCTACAGATTTAATGAAGGCGCAGGTACATATGAATAATTATAATACTTGAACTAATTAGAATTATTTTGATTGTTTTGTCATTATATTAATAATTGATTAATGCTTCAATCCCAAATAATATTTAGGTAACAGAATTAGAAAGTATGAGTGAACAAACCGCAGTGTTAGATCAGAATGGTCAAGTTTCAAAATCTACTCAAAAGTTGAATAACAATACAGCAACTCAAGTTTGTAATAACAAAAAAAGTGATAGTGTTCTTGAAAATGAACTTATTTGTCCTATATGTATGTATTTATTATTTTTCTACTACATGTATAATAATGTATTATGATTGATCTTTTATTGATCCTTTATTTTTATAATTCCATTATTATTTAATTTTTAGGTTGTGCGAAATTTTCTACCAAAAAAACGTTAACAGTTCATACAAGGACTCTGCATACATCTCATAGATTATGTTACCCATGTCCTTGTTGTTCTAATACATTTGCAAATACTTGGAGTGTTTATAGGCATCTTTTTAAAGGTGTGTGGAAAGTATTATAATACTAATTTTATTTATGAATATGGTACAGTTTTTAGATAGATATTTTAGATAGATATTTTAGATTGCTAAAGTCGAAAATGAAAATGAATTGTTTTGGAAGTTCAACCTTATAAACATTTGACTGTCTTGAGTTTGGGAACATTCTTACAGAGTTCCTTACAGAATCCCTTAGTCAGTTTAGTTTCATATTACGAGGAATTTATATAGTGTCATGTAACTAATGGTACTCACAGGGTGATGCTGTATGCAAAAAAATTTTTTCTTTCAAAACTTTGTCTTCGAAAACCGAGCTTAAAAATGTGTCAAGTTTGAATTTAATATGAAATTAATATTAAATTATTTTTTAAAATAGAATTTAATAAAAATTTAATATGAAATTAATCAAGAGTAAATAATTTAATTAAATCTTTCCATTTAAGGCATCGTCTTCAGGAAAATAGAAGTAATAGTAATATGTAGTTAAGAATTACTTTAGTATATTTGATAAATTTTTAGATTTTCTCGAATATTATAAAATAAACTTCTGTCAATTATTTACGCTTAGAATTATTCACTTTAGTCTACAATTAGCCAAATTCATATGTGAAATATATGAAACCTTAAATAAAAAAAATTTTCTTTTTTCTTTTTAGATTTATTTTTTCATGTATAATTATCTTCTTTCATACAATATCCTGCATGGCTTTTACTAATATCCATATTACTCTTTAATAAGATCTGGTCATTTCTTTCTCTTTTAGTCTTTGATATATATAATACATATAATATAATACATTGTATACTAATTGTTGAATAGTATATATATAGGAATTTTCCATGATCTTCATTTTCGATTTTGGCAATCTTAAAAACCGCTAAAAAATCTCGTTCTGTGTAGATTTATTAATTTTATTAATTTCTGTTAATAATTACGTAATACTAAATTTAACTAATTTTATAATTTGTAAAAAAAAATTATAATTTTAATAATATAAATTACATTGGATTGAACATTTGATTGAAATTAAATTAGCTTTTTACAATATTTTTTTAAATGAAATTTTAAAATTTAAAATGCAGTTCACAAAAAATCCAATGAAGAAGTACGAAAACTAAGATCACAAATTCAAGAAAAGGCATTTATTAGAAATACTACAGTTGCTGAAGATTTGCAAAAGGAGGACGCTAACAAAATTTCAGCGAATAACGCATTAAGAGTTAATGAAACACAGGTATTTTAATTATCGTAATTATATCTCAATTTTTATTAAAATATTGCTAATTATTCATTTGATAGGAGTGGATAGATCATTTGGAATCAGATACAGAATTACAAAGATGCGGTGGTTGTGGAAAAAGATTTGATAGAAAAGCAGCCCTATCAGCTCATTTGCAATATTGTCATAGACGTGTTGCAGCATATGAAAGTACAATTAAAGTTAAAAAGATCAATAAAGTTCCATCAAATAGTGTTTCAAATGAAAATACAGTTGTTAATTCAGAAAGTAACAACGCTACACAAATTGATAACACTAATCTAACATCCATTCGTGTGGAAGCAATTAACAGTTTAAGTAAAGCAGACTGGAATATGTTGAGTAGTGAAAAATCTAATGGAAATGTTCTCACGAATGGAGAACAAGGAAACAAGATGACAGATAATCTTTCTTCTGCAAGTGAGGTTTCTGATCCTTTAGAAATTGTATATACTAATATAAACAAACATAAAGTTAAAGTTGGGAGTAGAAAACGAAAAAATAAGGACAATACAAAAAGATTGAATAATAATACAGGTAAATATTTTATATTTGTAAGATTTAATGTTTGTGTCAAAATATTCATGTACATGAACATATTTCATAAATTTTTTAATTTTTATTTTTTTGGTGTTGATATAATACATTATTTCTAGAAAACATTAAAAAAGATATATCTCTGGAAGTAAGTATTGGGCACAATAATAAAAAAACTGAAAAACCGAATCATGTACTATTAATGGAAAAAAAAATAGCTTCAATAGTAAATTTTGAAAAGCTTCAGTGCCTTCCGTGTAAACGAAAATTTCCCTCAGTGAATAATTTAAGAAGACATGCTGCCATTCATATTGGTTGGAATCGTTATCAATGCAAACTCTGTGATTATAAATGTTTCGTTAAATGTGATTGTATAGCACATTGCAATAAAATACACAATGCTCAAAATAATCGTGTCGTCATAGACGAAATGATTACTCAAATTCCAGATGATCAATATATGTGTAACGAAAGTGTTATGTCGAATGGAATGAACTTAGGAAAGGAGACTGACGTTCCAGAAGTTGTAGAAGTCAACATTTCTGCAGAAAATATGGAGGTAGAAGTTGAAATAGAAAAGGAAAATGTAAATGAAATAAAAACAGAAGCTGATAAGAATTCAGTAATGACTTATGAAAATGGTGAAACTGAAGAAACGTTGAATAATAATATCAAAGGAAATACTTTGGAACTGAATCCTGATCTTAAAAGAATGGTGATGGAAGTTATCTTTGGATCTCCTGAAACTCATTCTACAAAACAAACGGATGCAAAGGAAACTGAAAGTTCCAATTCACAGTTACGAAATAGAGAAGAAGAAACACAGTTTAAGAACTCTAATTTAAAGGAAAGTACATGTACACAGGACAATCTAAAAACACAACGCCCTATTCGTAATAAAATAAAACCATTAAACAAGGATTTTATCTATGATTTAAAAGAAGTTACGTTCCGTAAAGATCCTTTAATTATGAAATCTTTCAACAAGCAGCTTGCTAAAAAATCTCCGGTGCAGGAAGAAGATAATTTAGAAAAAATTGCAGATCAACCGTCCAAACGTTTCAAAGCTGAAGAAAGTGATGAAATATCAATTCTTTGTGAAACTAATACTATAGTAGATACATGCGAAATTAAACATAATTGAGATTTTAAGAATAATTCTTTTTCTTTAAGAATAGTGTCACAATTAATTAATAAAAATCGTGGAATTTTAGTGGAATTTGTATTCAATCAAAAATACATCATTTAAATTAATATTGCTCATTTCAGAAAACAAATTTTTAATAAATTTTAAAATTTTATTCTTCATAAGTATAATACATTAGTTTATTTTAGTTAATTTCATTCTTCATAATATATATACATTAGTTTATTAATGTCAGTAAATTTAAGTCACGTTTAAAATATTAGATATTTCATTCACTTTTGTTGTACATTTCAGAATTAAAATTTTCAATATACATATATTTCTCTAGCAAATAAATAATTGAAAATATTGACATTTTCATACTGAAATTTTTATTATCTATTACATGTAGGTTTGTTTGAAAAATTATTTAAAATATATAATAATAAAAGAAGTAACAAAATTTAATTAAATATTAAATGTAATATTGCATTTTAGATAAAAAAATTAAAGGAAGATGTTGAAATAATAAAATGTTCAATTATTTTGTTTGTTAATACAAATGTATTACAACAAAATGCATATATAAATTTTTAGACAGATTAGTTAATTATATTTAATGATAATTGAAAACGAGTAATGCTTTCACCAGTTTCATATGAAACCAATAAATTCATTATATTATACATTGTATATTCATCATGTTCTAAATTATTCTAAGCAATGAACTATTTTTGCTACATAATTTAGTGCTATAACTCAATATTATTTTTCCAATTTAAAATTAAAAAAATATTCTAAGTAATAGAAATTTCTAGGAATTAATAGTTAATAATATCATATAAAGTGCTGTAAAATTTAAACATGCTATATAAAAATAACATATAGAATAATCTAGAAATAAGTAGTAAACTTTGTAATAAAGAACAATTGTGTTTATAAACATGTATAAATAGATAATGATTGAAAAGATCAGCTTGTAAAAATGAATTGTAAATACATGTGCTGATTACAATTATAATAAAAAATGTCTGTAATACATAAATGAATTTTTAACATTTTATTAAACAATAAATGAATTTCTTTTGTAACGCTGTAAGATAATAAAATAACATTTGGGCAAGGTAATATCTATGTTGTGTGATGTTTTTTACATGTATCTATATATGTATATTTGTGTAAAAGCGCGAAAGCGGTTCAGCGGTATGATTTGCTCACGTTTGAGAAGCTGCCTACTGATTGGTCAACGAGGCTCCTATCACAGCAAAGTTGCCGCCATTGGTAGAAGAGCTACCGCGACAGGTACTTGTGGTAGATGCGCGGCAAACAGCATCGGGAGACAACGTTTCTTTCTCTCGTCTGTCTTCGAAAATCTGCTAGTACGAATGACGCCGGTAAAATTACTACAATTTGGCTCTCATGTCTTCACAATGGTGATAAACAGTGACGTGATGTGAAGTGCATTATCTGTATTAATCGCTCGATTTTCTGGAATCTTTTGCTGAAGAAATCTTAGGTGCGGTATCGTAAACGTAAGTCATCTGTTCTTTTGCTTTTTTTTCCTATCTTCCGTTAACAAATCGCTATCTTCATTCTCAAATTCCTGTTGTCACGTTAATTAAATGTAAACATTTTGTTTAAGTATTCTTTAAGTTATGAAATTTATGTTGTTTTACAAAACAAAATTATATTATTATTATTTTCTATTTTTGTTTTTGTTTTTGTTTCTAACGTGACTTTTTGTGCCCTATTCATTTAATCATAATACGTGCGTATACATACACACATAGGCATAACATGTATGTATGTCGTAAGTTTATATGATTACAAGAATTATAAACGAAATGATTTAGTTGTTTATATTCGATATTCGTTAAATTTAGTGAAAATTTTTAAAAGAATTTAAAATTGAATTGAGATTAGTATAATGTGCATTAAAAATAATATAAACAAAAATTGATTATCTGATATTGATATAAAAATATAACTATATTGATTAGAAGTATCGATTGTTTATTTTCTTACATTATCTATTTATTGCTTATTTACGTTGTTTTCGTTATTCAAAATAAAAAATTTTAAATTTAAGTAAAATCAGTTAGTTTAATGAGGATTTATATATAAAAAAATTAATATAAAAAATGAAAAAATTATTTTCTATTTTTTTTATAAATTCTGTACTAATGATAAGTAATTCGAAATTATAAAAATGAAAAAATTAAAGTTTAGGATACATAATATATAAATATTTGTTATATATATATTTTTATATTAACTATTTTTTATATATAAATCTTTATTAAACTAATTTATATATACATATATTTGTTTATTTATAATAAATATCAGTTTGTGTATTCTAAATTTTAATTTTTTTATTTTAATTTGTTTATTCATTATAAACTTCTTTATATTTTATATTGGTTAAAATATATACTACATATATAGTTCTGTTAACATTAGTTTCCATAAACAAACTAATATTATTTTTTCTGTTTTATTTCTCATAATTATTATTTCTTTTATATTAATATTCTTTTTATTCTAATATTACGTATATAATAAAATTTTATTGTTAAAATAGCATTAAAAATAATACTTTCCATGAACGTAATGCTCGTTTCATTTCTTTTCAACAACAATTAATGTCAATAATTAACCTGCTGACTATGTTTGACGAGTATGCTTCCCATATCAAAAAAAGGACTAATTAACTTTTGTTATTTCAATGAAAATTCCAGTGAAAACTAAAAATTAATAATGTTCTAAAACATTTTAGAGTATTTGGATCGTCTGAACGAAATAAAAAATGATAAAAAAAAAGAAATAAAGATTTATTTAATTAATTTCAGCCATTGTGTAAAACAACTCGGTAATATTGCTCTGATCAATTTTTTTCTATTTTAATTTAATTTAATTTTTCTTGTTTTTTTTTATTAAGAAAATTATGAATATTCAAGTTTTGTCAATAACATTAAGCATTGAAATTATCGATTTTCAAAAAAAAAAAAAAAAAGAAAAACAATTTCCATTAAATTTTACAGTAAGTGCATTTACTTTGCGTTTTGCGAATATACCCATCTTTTTTTTCAATTTCAGGCGCACTTTATTTAATTTAATAATTAAATTTTGAAATAAAAAATCACTGCCTTGTACTCGTCTTGTAACGAGGTGCGCGACTTTCCCTTCTTGGAAGTAACTCTCCTTTCTTCTCTGTCTTTGTCTTTCTCGTTCCACTGTCTTCTCTTTCCTTTGCTCTCTTCATCTCCTATTCTATTTCTATGTTGTGTTTCGATAAGAGAACACACTATCTTTCTAAGAAGTTATACGTTATGTTTACGTTTCTTCTCTTTCTTTTTTTTTCTTTTTTTTAATAAATTGTACTAATAATCACTGTTGACACATTTAATTTATTTAAGAATCAATTGAATTCCTAAATCACAATTTATAATTGCGTAGTTTCAATGAATCCTTCCCTATTCACAAGTTTAATATAGTTAATCATTATATTTATATCGATATTTGAAACATTAATTAAATTCAACAAATAATTAATTTATTAATTTTAATTAAATTTAGTAGAGAATTAATAAATATTAATATGCAATATTGAAAATATTCTGAGTTATTCTGTTTATACAGTTGTCTTTCTAACAATTGTGATGCAGTTTTTGGTTTATGTTGATGAAAGCTTTGATGAAAGAAATTAATCTGAGCAATATTTATAATATATTAGTAGTAAAGATATAGAAATGAATAATCTGTGAAAGTGAAAGATATTAATAAGAGATACTAAAAGTCGAAAAATCCTATTGCATCAGGATCAACGACGAGTTTAGGAAAGAAAGTTTCACAATCAGATAAAATCTCCCCGTTGTATATATACTATTGCACGCGATTTATTATTACAACTTATTTCACAGTGATAATTAAATACGTTTCTCACTCGTTTTTGGTACAAAGTGCAACAACAAAATTAAAGCACATAGTAACGTGAACTTAAAAATTACATCTGCGTACGTTATTTATATAAATTAGCTATAAAAACATGATGTCTAAATAAAATCTATTAATTATAGGTAAATTAATAAATCTAGTATTATAAATAAGTTTGCTAATTAACTATAAATGTAACTCAAGTATGATCGGATCTTACAAGACAATTATTCATAATTATTGTAGCATCAAAAAATTTGTTTTCCTGCAAAAGAAAGATAATTTTTATGGTAGTTTAACTATTGAATGAAATTACTTAATTACGCGTCTTTTTGTAGAAATGGCAAAAAAGAGTAAATTTTGTAAATGAAAAATAATAAAAATGGTGAAAGAGAGTAAATCTGCTTTCTCATTTGTCAGATTCTATTTATAAAACAAAAGAATTTCTAATGACACTTTTTGTTTCTGAAATAGAAAAGCTAAAAATGTGGCTAAAGTATTATCCACATCTAGTCTTGTACGATCAATTTGATTCACATAAAGATTATAGGGGATAAATTCAAAACTAATTCTCGAAACTTAGACTGCTGATTTTAGTTTAGAGGAATTTCTTATTTTAAAGAGTTAAAAAGATTTATATAAGCGTAAGAGTTAAGTTTATATAAATTTTTATTGATAATATACAAATAGAAACATCTAAAAAAAAACGTACTACAAAAATACTTAATCCAGATCTGAACATTTTCCTGATCTGATCTATATACATACTTCTTTTTTTTTTCTTGCCAACTATAGTAGTGCCGGATGTTCATTTTACATTTACAATGTCATTCCAAAATCATGATTGATCGCACATCTGCTCATGTCCTTAACAATGAAAACCGATCATCGAACGTAGTATGTTACATTCGAGATATATGTCCATATAAACATACATATGTGCATGAATCAAACATCCTTTATTCACGCAGCAAATGATTTCTTTCTCATCTAACTTTCAAGAGTTTCGGATCACAAACGAAAATACAAAGTTTCAAATTTTCGAAAACGATTTTCGAAATAGATTTTGTATAATATTTCCGTGTAATATATCTGAACTTTTTTTTAAATAAATTATCTTATCTTTAATTATAAATTATAATTAAAATATAAATTATCTTTATTTTTAATTATAAATTATCTTAATGTCCAATTTTTACATTATTGTTATATTAGTGGAATGATACAGGGCTGGGGAAAATTTGAAATAATTTGATATAAAATAGTAAATATTAAAATATTTGCATAAGTACTATTTGGAAATACTATTTAATGCTTAAATGAAATACTATTTCATTAAATGTTTAAATCATGAGAAAATACTATTTACTACTTTCACACGGATTCAAATATCGAAAATAGTGAATTGAAAATAAAACATACAAATTTTAAAACTAAACATATTTCGCAATTGTCACTTGCTATCTTCTGTTCTGTTAAGGTTGATACATTATGACTGACGACGAGTGTAGCAACCAAGGTTGGTATGTGTTGTGTAAATGTTGTGTATTAGTAATTAGGGAAAACAGAAGATGGACGAGATGAAAAAGAATGAGTAGTATGGTGTGTGCGTCCAAGGTGTGGATTCGTGTTTACGTATATATGTAAAATGTAGACGAGATACGTGTATACGTATATATATATATATCTGATTTTGAAGACACATTTAAAACTCAATGGTTTCTGAACAAACTTTTACAAATAAAATGTAATTTAATATCGTGTAGGGTATCCTCCTTGAGAAATGACCTCTTTTAATCGTTGCGGCATATTGCCAATTATTTTTTTCAGATATTCTGTTGGAACATCATTCCACTCTTCTTATAGTCTTTGTTTTAATATTTCTTTAGAAGTTATTGCTGTTGTCCTAGTTCATCCCATAAATTTTCTATAGGATTCAGATCTGAGGATTGAGGTGGCGGCTGCAATAGTTTTAGACAATTATACAGTAAATATTCCTGTGCCTTATGCTTGGGATCATTATCTTGGTAATACTTAAATGTACTCTGAATCCCCATTTTCATTGCACTTTTATGTAAATTATTTTTTAAAATATTGAGATACACATTTTTGTCCATTGTGTTATCAATAAAAATTAATTCACCCGGTCCAAATAACGAGATACATCCCCATACATTTCCACCTCCTTGTTTTATACTCGGCTTCGTATTTTTAATTTTGAATTCTTCCTTCTTTTTTCACTACACCATTCTTAGTCCATCCGATCTAAAAATGTTGAATTTACTCTCATCACTGAAAACAACATCATTCCACCGCGTATCTTCTTTGTAAAAGAAATTCTTTTACAAATTTTAATCTTTTCTTTCGATTAGCTTCATTCACATATGGTTTCTTCCGAGCAACTCGTCCGTTATAACAACTTTCTTTTAATGTTCTGCGTATTGTTTGTGGATGCACTTTCTTACCAGTTTCATTAAAACTTTCGGCAGCTAATTTTGGTGCACTTAATGTAGGATGATCTTTCTTTATCTTTCGTATAATATTTCTCTTATCACGCGTGTCTAAGATCTTTGGTTGGCCTTTTTGAGGAATAGAT